TAAATAATACGATATAGAATGGTCCACAATTTTAAGCACAATTCAACGCTTTAATGTTTTGTTTTCATGTTGGCCCTTAAAGCAATATTTGTTTTTATTTTAGTTTTTTAGTAACATTTTTACCTATGCTGTCAACACTGTGAGCAGTCTATTCAACCCTACTTGTGTGTTGCTTTGTTCCACAGTGGGGGGTTCTTCCACATTCGGGGCTATGAGCCCATCCTGTCTCTGTTGCTCTTTGTCAGTGCCCTGGCCCTCCACTCCAGGCAACTAGACCTCAAGCTACGCTTGGACTTCCTCTGGGCTGTGCAGGTCAGGAAAAGTGTCTCTATGCGCTGCAGTGGTTGATGGGCCTAAATCTCATTATCATAAAGTTTTAATAGAAGTGTACTGTAGAACTGCTGGTATTTCAGCTTTGATGTGTGTAAACTAGTTTACTGGGTTTTGTATAGGAGATTTGCATTTATAGGCTGGCTGGGTTTTACTTAGCATCATTTTGCATAATGGAATTGAAGTGTTAAAGCAAAAGCTGAACTTTAAGCTATTTACCCTTTTAACTAGCAGCATTTATGATTTATAAACTGTTCAAAATTTAACTATGACGCCTACCATGCAGTTGTTTTAGCTGCAAGGTTGATAAAGTTTTTTACTGACCTCGTGTGGTGAAAATGTGGTACAGTCTAGTCCTCATGGCTTTAACTGCATGTTGTGTGTATGCTACATTTGCTGTCAGGCGGAAGAGGAAAGGGATGGCATGGAAAAAGTCAAGCTAGACAACAGGAGGATTCTCTTCAACCTTCTGCCTGCACATGTGGCTCAACATTTCCTAATGTCAAACCCCAGAAACATGGTGAGCCTCACTTATAGGCAGGCAGGCAGACAAACACACCAACAGGTAGATAAAAAAGCAGAAAATAAAAAAGGAGCATCAAAAGACATCAGAGGGCATTTTGTATGTTGTTACTGTATTCTTTATGTTTACACTTAGGATCTGTATTATCAGTCCTACGCACAAGTAGGTGTCCTGTTTGCATCCATCCCAAACTTCAATGATTTCTACATCGAGTTGGATGGGAACAACATGGGGGTGGAGTGCCTGAGGCTGCTGAATGAGATCATTGCTGACTTTGATGAGGTACAAATCTGGTTTTGTTTTTCCTGACTCTGAACTTCAGGAACATTTAATTTGGTTAGCACCAATGCTTTGTTATTTGACTGTATGGTTTACAGCTCATGGATAAGGAGTGCTACAAAGACATAGAAAAAATCAAAACCATTGGCAGTACGTACATGGCAGCTGTGGGCCTCGTCCCCACCATTGGTACCAAGGTACCGTCTTATTTTGTGTTTCTGTGTGTTGTTTCTGTTTGTGCATCTAAATGATGTAGTGCAAATTGATATTGTACATCGAACAATGTAACAAACATATTATGAAGGATCATATACTACTTGATTTACTTCCCCTCTTCAGGCCAAAAAATCAGTTTACAATCATCTGAGCACAATAGCAGACTACGCCATTGAGATGTTTGACGTTTTGGATGAAATCAACTATCAGTCATACAATGAGTTCGTCCTGAGAGTGGGTACGTCTAATCTGGTATTAAATGGAATGTGAACGAAATCAAAATGTGACTATGAGAAACCTGTTTGACTTTTTTTTTTTTTTGTTTGTTTAACATTTTGTGTTGCTTCGGGTGTAACTGTTGTAGGCATTAATGTTGGTCCAGTGGTTGCAGGGGTGATTGGGGCACGGCGACCCCAGTATGACATCTGGGGAAACACGGTAAATGTGGCCAGTCGCATGGACAGCACTGGAGTGCCTGGAAAAATACAGGTACCTAGAACACCATAAATTACTATATTTAGGTAATTTTATTTTATGGGAAATCTGGTTTACAGAGAAGATACTGTATGTAGGGCAACGTACACGTGTAAAGATGAAATTCATATACTGTTTAATAAAAACGCAATAGTGTACACAGTGCATGCTACACATTTTAAGTGGACCAACATGATGAAATAGGGCCAACTACAGAGTCGATGCTGAGATAAAGTACAATAAACGTTCTTAAACTGAACATTTATATCATATCATACATGTCTGCAGCTTTTCAGTGGTTCTGATAATTGCTAGATTCACTAAACAAACACATACAATTCACATACAAAATAAAGAGCCAATCCCAGCTGACACTGGGTAAGAGGCGGGGTCCACCCTGGACAGGTTGTTTTATTGTTTTTGTTTTTTGCTTTCAGGAGATATTACATCAAAATGACCTGTACAATCAACAACTGAAATGACCTCTGTCAATTGTTTCAATCTACGCATGTAACTATTTATCTCCCTTTTTAAAAATATTCAGTAATGCGAATATTAAATCAGGTGAGAGTAAACTGAAACAATATATCTCCTCAGGAAACCACAGTTATAGGTAAAGTTTTGAAAAATCCACTTAAATCTCTTTCAGAGCCCGATGAGTGAAAATCAATATGAATTTCATATTTGTGTAATAAGTAAAGATGTAGACATATTTAGCTTGGCTTGGCATTAAAAACTGAAAGTAGGAGGATGCAGCTGGCATGGCTCTATCCAAAATTTTAAAACATACCAACACATCTAATACTTGGAGTGTTTGTGCTATATTGTAATGAATATGAATGTAAAAATGTATATCTCCATCTCTGTAACCCAGGTAACTGAGGAGGTCTATCGTCTGTTAAACACCAACTATGACTTGGTGTGTCGTGGCAAAGTCAGTGTTAAAGGTAAAGGTGAAATGTTGACCTACTTCCTGGAGGGCAAGGTTCAGGGCGTGGGCACTGCAACCGCTTCTTCAGTGGTGCGTTCTGCCAGCCTGGCACGTCGGATCCACTCCTGTGGCAAGACGAGCATCCCGACCAATTTGGGCAGCATCTGTTCCGCCACCAGCCTGACTGCTCATAGCAGCATGGGCAGCAACATTCAGATGAACACCGCCAACAGCAGCAATAGCCAAACAACATGCCTGCCCTCATCCTGTGTGCCAGAGGCGGGTGAGGAAGATCAGGAGGACACAGAGGTGACAAAAGTTGAGATTGAGGCTGTGGCTGCTGCTGCAGATGTAGCGGTGTAGGAAGAAAAGTAAAACTATAAACTTAAATGAAAAAAGGAAATAAAACTCTGGCTGGAGGCCTAGAGAAGACAGAGCTGTCCAGGTATTTCCAATAAATCCACAATGCTCATTCAGGATATGAAAAAAAAATGACACGGTGATATGAATAACCATATTTGCTCTTTGGGATTCTTAACTGCTCACCACTCTTGGAAGAAAAATGTGGACTGAAGAAGAAAGATACTCAGAATCTATAATCTTCTTTTAACATGTTTGTACCAGATGATTAGATGTGGCTTCTATCAAATCCAGGTATAATGTGCATCTTCATTTTATATGTGGTCCATATGTACAATGGATATGTGCATTGATATCCACAAAAAGACTGATCTTGCTATTGCTTTTCCACTGTCTTTCTGATTATGCCAAGGATACATTGTATTATCTACAGTGTAAAAATTTTTTTGTATTATTATTTTTTTGGTGTATGTAAGCATGCACGTGCGTGCTTGTGTGTGTGTATGCATGTGTGCTTAATTTTTTAATTGTAACAAAATGGCACAAAATACTTTTTTATACTCAGATCTCACTGGATGAAACAGGATTTTTCTGGGACATATGTAGAGTTAATAGTGCATGATTTTTAAGAGTTAACAGCCATAGCAACAGTACTCCTGTTGAAAGAAAACCAAAGTATTGAACTTTCCATGGGTCTTTAGTTTTATTGCTTATAAGGCCTCACCATACAAGAAAGAGAAACGTTGCAGTAGGTTGAGCATTTGACTCTTGTATATGGCTTCAAGTGTCTTTTTTGATACATGGAGACTAGTGATTACCCTGATTCATAATTGTTAAATCTATTATCACATGTTAAATCCACGCACAAAGGGAAAAGGTGTGTAGACCACAGGGCCCACTTAGCTGGATGTGTGCTGCTTTGGAAACATTTGTAGTTCCTGCCAAAACTGAACCAATCACAAAGTATTAATTGCACACCCAAGTATGGTGCAGAAATACATAAAGGCATCCACAGGAGTCAAGAAAGGCATTTATCCACACAGAAGAAAGCACATACATTACTTACGTACATACAATAAGCACACAACCTCTACAAATGCATGGCTTAGTCCTTTACTCACAGCCTCTGCTAATGTTCCATGTACATTCTCTCAGTGCAGTGTCTGACTGCTGTCGTCTTTCAGACATACAGCATTCTACATTATTTTTCTGCTTTAATTATGCTACACTTTGCATTTTCCTCAGAAGATATCAGCTTCAGCACATCTCTCAGATAATCAGTAATGTAAGGCACTTCAAATATATTTATCAGCATATAAAATTTTCACTTGATCTGCAAAAGTGTACATACATCATGTTTCAAGTTTTTGCCTTACTCAATAAGCTTACAGTGATTGCAACCTGCCTTTTTAGAGATATTCACTTTGATATGCAGATCATACATGTTGTAAATAGCCAAAAACCTGTAAACTATGTTGTATCTTGTACAGTGTAAAGTTGAGTTATTGAATATTTTATAATAAAGGCAATACTGGTGTATGAAGTATCACGTGGCTACAAAAAACAACAAATATGTAACATTTCTGGCTATTGAGATATAAAAGACAAAAATACATTTACATGCATGTACAGTATTCCTTCATATTTCCACTCTATAAATGTTCCTCTCTCACACTTTAGTTTATGACATTTTTAAATAACAGATTTTACTCTACAAGCAAAATATGGCAGATAATGACAGGGTTATTATGCCGGAGCCTAAGTCACCATGTCCCAAACAGTGAAAAAAGGCCCAACATTATTTTCCCAGCACTGATGCAGTGTTTGACTGGGTGCCACTCGGTGTAACAGTTAAGTCAACAAATGCCTGGCTTGCTCAACATTTTAGTATACTGAATTATTTTTGCTTTGGAATAAAATAACACCAATTCTGGTCAATTAATAGTAATTTGCAGTGAATGTTGATGTATGCTAAAGATGTTATTACTTCACAGAAAGTGCAGCTGTTATTATCACCAACATGGTCATAGGCTCCCCCCCCTCCGAATCCAACCTAAGGGTGACATAAGGCAATGCAGGGAATCCAGGGTAAATGGTGGTTCACAAACAACGCTCCCTCGGTGTCATCGGGGTTGCTAAACTTTGTGTAAAATAGATAGGTGGAGTGTACCTTTAAAAAATGTTACTATCTTAAAAGCTGCTGTTAAATACTCCAACACACTGACTTGAATTTATTGAGGCTTTTGGTTCAGGTGGCAATGCTTCATTTTTCACCCAGTGTGTCATGAGAAACCCACCTGCACCTGTCAGCTACACTTAATTAGATCGTTCAGATCAGGTGTGTATACTTAAGTCATGAAAACCTGAAACTGCAGGATCTCACATATTAGGAAAGCTCAGGCAGCTAAATGGACATTCAGCAGCAAAATGTAGGTTTCATTCCACTTTTTTTCAACTAGATGGTATTTTCATATATAAAATAAGCCACTTTTCAAAAATTCATCAATAAATAATCATAAATATATATCAATTGTGTTCTGTGTTTGAAAATAACATGGATGCAAATACTGGAACAGTGGCCATACCTGGAGGCCATCCAGGAAGAATCAGAGCAGGAAGATGAAACCGATGGAAGCACAACAGGAGAAGGAGAAGAGGATTTTCAAATTCAAGAAGGTGTGGAGACAAAGGGAGTGCAGGTAGAAGAGGAGAGTGATGAGGAAGATGACGGTTCTCTGCTGAAGGTTCTGAGATGTGGGCGACAGCTTCCTTCTCTCAGCCAAAGGAGTTCTTTAAAAATGCAATCTACCTTCAGTGACCAGAAAGAAATGAAGAATTTCACTGTGTCAGATTCCACCAAACTTAGAGCGGATTTAAGTGATGAAGCTACATCGCCTGCGCCACCAAGGCTAGGAAAACAGAAGTGCTCTAGTAGTGGGGCGGTGAGAGTAAAGGTTAGTAATTTTGCGCAACTGATATTAAAATCAAAGATCTGACAACACAAAATTGAGCGGGAGGAAAATGTAATGCTCTGTTGTTTTAATGTGTCCAAGATCAGACTGCAAAAACATAAACCACTTAAACAATCAGTGCAGAAGACAACAAAGAGGACAAAGAAAAACACTGTGAGTGTTACTTTTTAAACAATTTCTAAATTAAAATTCTAATGTCATTTTTTTTCACCTATGTTCTCAAAAATGGTTTTTCCCCAAACAGGAGCACTTTCCTCAGTGGCTGGTGAGCCTGATGGTCAACATCGAAGAGGCAACAACACACCAACTGGTGGTTGAGTAACACTCATCATCACAGGCTTCACAAGGTCAGCGTGAAACACGGCGGCCACATCAAGCAATGACCTCGTTGGTCGATACTGAATGTAGAACAAACTTGCCACGGTTTACGTTACCACATTAAGGGTTATTAGCACTGAGAGGAAAGTCCATCACAATGTGCAAGTCACTGTTATTTTTTAGCTATTTTCAGTGGGGGAGAAAAATACACTTTATTTTTGATGTTAGTTTTGTGTACTATTAAATAAATTGATTAGCTCTGTTTGTTTAATTATAATTTCTGTGTCCTGGTTTAACCCCATGTTGACCTGCCCCATACATCAAGCCTACAGCTGTTAAACTAATATATGCTTCAACCAAAACAGGCCTGAGGTTCCTTTTGGCAGCTTCAGCCTGAACCCATTTACCTTTTTCATAAGTCAGTGTTCATTTGAATGAACTCTGAAAGGCGCCACAGCAGGCACAGTCACAAAGCTAACTATGTACTTAACTTTAAGGGAAAAGGTTCTTGCACTCTGCCTCAGTTTTTGAGGAAAAAAAACCTAAAATGATATACCCAAATTAAAACGGCTGTAGCTCCTGAACCACATGGACTATATCAATAAATCTGGCCTTGCCAGAAAGGAACTCCCCCCAAGGTTATTTTGTAAAAAAAAAACACTCAGGGTGACACAGAAACAGAGCAGCAGGCCTCTAAATTCAGAATGAATGAATAAATAGGCTTGCTTGAAATAAAATTGCATATTACCTGCCTGTGGCTTTATAATTCCGCACAAATGACACAGTGGGGTTGTGAAATGCAGTTTATAGCGATACATCAAGTTTTATTAGGTTATTAGTTTGTACAAAAAAAGCTTATGCTGGGTGTAACCATAACTATGAGTGTAAAATAAATGGACAAATTATATTTGCTTCCCGGATGTAATGAAATGAAGAGAAAATGGTTATGAAATACAGTACTATTGCACCATGGCTTTTTCCAATCAAAAAACTCCACACTCTCAACTCTTGTTATGCCAGTAGTAGTTTTGCTCAGTTCCAAGTATGCACAGGGTTTATTTACTCATTGTTTTAGTGTTTTTCATTGTGATCAAGCTCCACCTCCTCACCACCAACAGCTTCCATGACCCTAACTGACCCTGCGAGCGTCACAGAGACATGCTAATCTTCATCATCTCATCTTCTTAAATATGTTAGAGTTCAGAGGAATTTACACTGTAATATCAGGAGTGTTGTGTTTAAAACAAACAAACAGATCTTACAAAATGAAAGGAGTACACAGCATAAGTGGTGCCGAGGTACTCTACCTGGCATTTGCCATAGATAGTTATGACAAATACTACACAAATGACACAACCAATTACTAGCATCTTTCTTCAGATAAACATGTTGTGATTCTAGCAGCACCTTCCATAATGTTAGGGTTATGCAATGCTCAAGGGGAATTAGTTTGTTTATCCGTCTGCCTAATAAGAGCTTCACCAAAGATACTAAAGGGACAAATAAGGTTTTAGTGTCAAAACAATCTGTCAGCATGGCTTCACAGAATAGGTGTGACAACAACAATCACAGACAGAGCTTTTATAATCAGTCATTTTCTCATAGGGTTGGATTATCTAGCATTCCTTATTATGTGTCTTCAAAAAAGGTATTCATGTGATTGTTTTTAGAAATCCCCATGTAAAGACGAGTCATTTGGTCGTTCAAAAACAGAGTTGTTTTGATGTACACTTCATTGCTTCATGTTCCAGAGTCAATATTGACTACAGACCTCGTGAACCTGGATCTATGTACGTCAAGCAGGGCCACCCACTGCTTACAGCAGCTGTCTCAAAATATTTTATATCTGTGGTCACTCTGTCAATCATTAAGTTTTGTGGAGGCCAGATCTCCATATAAATCTTGCTGGTTCAGAGAAGTCACTTCAGAGGAAAAACTACAGTCATACAGAGCAGTTTTCAAAGACAAGTCCAAAAAAAAGTCAAGATATTTATCTGAAGACAGGAGATGCCTGGATTATATAAGAAGCTGATCTTTGTGCCAGCTCTGACTCTGGCTGTCTTAGCTGTGGTGAGGTCATCCCCATTGGTGGAACCGGAGCCTATCCGCTGTGTCCCCTGTACGCAGGAGAAACGGAAAGACTGTCCCACCGTCCCAGCAAGCTGTAGACAGGTGCTGAGGGAGCCTGGCTGTGGCTGCTGCATGGCCTGCGCTCTAGAGGAAGGAGCATCCTGTGGGGTCCACACAGCCCCTTGTGGTGAGGGTCTCCGATGCACTCCCAGGGCTGGTGAAGCCAGACCTCTCCACGCTCTGACCAGAGGACAAGGGGTCTGCACTCAAGACCTAGGCCAAGGTAATTGAAGTTTTGCAAGGTCTTTAGATGTCTTCATTGTTTATATTTCTTATTTTCAGAAATGCCAAAGCTAATTATTTATTATCAGAAACAGAGTGCACATATTTGCAAACATTCATTTTGCTTGTACAGAGGATACTGATGGAGTCCTTGACCATGGCTCCCTGCACTACCTGTTGGGTTTCAACCTTCCCCTTGAACACCAAGACACTGCTGAGGGCCAAGAGACCATCAAGGCCAAGATCAATATTATTCGTAACAAAGTGGTACAGCAGGTGAGGAAAAACATTCTGAAGATGATTCAAAGGAATATACTGTCCTTCCACATGAGGGAGCACTTGGGTTTGAGGAACTGGGATTGGATGGAAAAGGTTTTGTTTTCTCACTTTTTTTGGTTTTGTTTGCTTGGTTTTTGTTTTTTTTTCAGGGTCCCTGTCACATTGAACTGCATGCAGCACTGGACATGATAGCCAGCTCTCAGCAAAATCTAGGAGAGATGTTTACAAGTTTCTACCTCCCCAACTGTGACAAACATGGCTTCTACAAGGCCAAGCAGGTGCGAATTAAAGGATTTGACAAAATAAAATTGACTCCACCTGTCAAAAGAGATCCATCTTTACTGTAGCTAGTGGGTGATTTATTTATATGGTTCCTATCTCTGTTTCTCTTTCAGTGTGAGTCATCTCTGGTTGGACCGCCTGCTCGCTGCTGGTGTGTCTCTTACTGGAATGGGAAGAAGATCCCAGGATCGAGTGACCTGCTCGGTGACTCTGACTGTCATCAAGAAGTCACTCACTGAGGAATGGACGTTAAAGGCTTTTATCAAAACACTTACATACACACACAGATGCATACACAAACACCTACAGTCACAACCATGCATGTTTTCTAACTTAATATCAGGTAAATCTACATGCAATCCCCAGATGATTTTATTTTATTTTGTTTTTAAACATTCAGACAAAATCTTATTTCAAACGAGGAATTCACATTTTATTTACATGATGTACGTATCAAGACTTATTTATTCACTATCTGTATATTCTTACTAGCATTAACTATTTGTCATTTTTAGATTTTTTTTATAAGCCTATTTTTTCCAATTGTAAATAAGGACTGTAAGACTGTATACATTTGTGTTTCTGACTAAATAACTCCACTGCTCAAAACCACAGGTCTGCAGCTGTGCCAAACCCATTTCAGAGTCTTCAGCATCAGTTTTTAAAAAATTCATTCAAAACTGGAGCTGTGCACGGTACAAAACAACACAGCTGCTCATTCATTCATCATGTTGACATTGTCTGAATGTATCTCCATTGGTGTTTCCTTAATGGGTATTGGTGGAAATACTTCAAGTGCCACAAGTATGTGAACAGTGGCCAAGCACAAACATATCAGGGCATATCCAAGCCGCCGTGAGGTTTAGGACAGGTTGTTCTGCATTTGACTACCTCTACAGGTCCACAGGTTTAGCAGAGGGTTGCTGAGGGCTCTTCTCAGCTACATCTTTCTCACCTTCTATTTGTCTAGAGGGTTGTTGTGATTTTAGCATCTATTTTAATATTTATTATGATTCACTTTTTTTATCTTAAGTGTAGTGGACTGAATTGTGTATATTTTTTTCCAGGAACGTTGCTATTCCAATATTGGTTTTGTTGAAACCATGTATATTATCTTCTGTGAGTGTGCATCCAATTAAAATGTTATTTCATCATGATGGGGTTGTGTTTTACTGTTTTTCAAAAACAAACAAAAACAATAGTTTCATTCACACTCCAAAAATGAAACAAATGCAATGCCTGGATCATTTTATACTGCCTTTATTAAGTAAAAAATATACCTCTGAGGATTGCATTGTACATGCAAACAGCATTTTTGCAAGGCAAGTCATTAAAATTGAACACTGGCTAGACAGAAGCCAGAGATAATGGTGTGGCCCAAAAATTCAGCTTATGCAAACAGAAGTGGCAAAGGAACATGAACAACCACAATACAGATAAAATAAAATGGCCCTCTTTATTTCTGTGGCATAAAAAACATTATATGCACTGTCCTGTATGAACTGCACAGCTGTACCTAACTTCCTAAGGAGCAGGAAGCAATCTGGGAAAAACAAAACAAAACAACAACAACAACAACAACAAAAAAAACAGAATTCATAGTAAAGCACTGCATGCTTACTCTGAGCCATAGTCAAAAATTACATTTATGGGTGTCATGACATACATCTATGTAACAAATCATAGGTATACAATTTATGATTACACATCACAAGCATATATACATGTGCAATGCCACTTATTTGTGCGTAAATGAAGAGAACTCTGACAGGTACAAATGTCTCTGGGTTTAAGAATCAGAACAGGGCCTCAGAGATAAATTCTTTCAATGTATTCTTTTCTTACTAGCTGTCCAGACTGCATCAGAGACAAACACATATAAAGAATCCATCTGCTGCAGGAAACTACAGACTGTATCTGTAACATGGATGCTTTTTCTTCCTGGTAGTCCTCCTCTGTTCCCCTTGCCCTGCCTCAGAAAAAGGTCCCACAGGCAACCGATAGAAATAGCAAACATCCATATATCGGCTGAGCCATCTCTTGACCTCTTTCCCAATATCCTCAGTGTCTCCATTTGTTTACAGTTCTTCTTGCTCCCACTCCTACCCACCCTCACTCCCTCCTTTCTGCTCTGCTCCTATTGGCTCTTGGAGTTATAGAGCTGTGTGTCTTTTCGCTCCTTACCATCAAAGGCTGGCAAAGGCTGCCCATATTTGTCCACACACCAACAGAAACCTCGCTTTCTGCCTCTGGATGGACGGCACTGAAAGTGAATGAAGAGACAGGGTAGAAGGAGGGAAGAGAAATGTGGGTGGGAGCAGCTAAATGTGCAAATCCAGTTGAATGTGCAGCATTATAGGTAACAAGCCACTTTACTCAATGAAGTAGAACAGCAGGTAAAAGGCATTAATGGTCAGATTGCAGTGAGTCAACATAGCCTTGGCTATCTAACACATGGTATTTTGAGCTTCTTTTATGGTCTACCCCCTGTTATACACACATATAGAAACATTTAAGGTAAACAGAAACCTGGTATAATATTTGCTTAGTCCCGTTTGTGAACAACTGAGAACCAAGATCTATTTTCAGAAGCTGGTGGCCAGTACGAATCATCTGTTGCTGATTATACCCCACAGCTCCAAATTATGGGTAGCCTACTACAAATGACTTACAGAGTCTGTGGAGCTACCCAAGGGCTGTTATTTTACTGCCAATTTTACTAAGGGTCAACCTCCACTTTAGTAAAATGTGCAGCCATTAATTTCAAGTCCTTAAGCAACTATGCTGCTGCTCCACACAGAAGTCATAGCTGATCAGGAAAGAAGCCATCTTTATTTATTTCAATATTTCAGCAAAGTTTGACTGAGAGTCTGATCTGAGCTAAGGTAGGACCCTCTTACTCTCTAACTGCTGTTGCATAGAAAAGCATAGAAGGAGAAAATCGTTATATGCATTAAATTAAACAATGCAGATCTCATTTCCACTGTATTTTTTGAGGATATTAATGCAGGAAATTTATCAGAGTAACCAAAAATTTAAACACAATTTGCAAAAAAAGTATCTATTTCTAGCATGAAATCTGTTCCAGGTGTTTTTTTTCTCCACGACATTTACTTTTATTAAGCGCTGTAAAAAGAAATGATTTGTCCTTACAGTGATGCAAAGTCCAAATTAAACTGACCAACATAAAATCTCTGCCACTCCTTCAGCGCCTGAGGGTCAACACAGCGCCACTAGGTCTATTCTACATGACAATGAGCATGGGGTTGTGAGGCCGGTTATGAGATGATTGCAGGTCAAAGAGACTACTTCCATTAAGCAGGAGAGACTGCTATGTAATAAGAAAAGCTGGCTTGGTGATGCAGTGGCGCGGGAGCCCTAAGTGCCTCCATATGAATGCGTCAGAACCACTCATTTATTACAACCCGATCGTGGGTGAACCATGTGAGTGAGGAGATGGCTGCAGCTCTATTTCTGTGCATGCCTCTCAAAAGTCCAGCAATTATGGGGCGAGCGCATCGGGTGCCGTTGGCCACCTTGACGTCTGTCTCCCTGGGAGGGTTCCCGTTATGCAGCCATCGTCCTAGCCATCAACCCCAATGGGGTTTGGCCCCTGTGATTCCTGTCTCCAGAGCCAGTGGCTAGGGTCTACCTCACTGGTGTGGTGGTGCAATGATGAGGCTCTAATAACTACCAATGAATACAGGAGGACAGCTACAAATCTGTAATTGGCTGCAGGAGACCTAAAGTTTGAGTCACTAGACTTATTAACATGGCCAGTAAAAAAAAAAAGAGAGAGACAAGTAGGTTTCCTTTTAACAGCCATTCAAAGATGTAAGCAAGTTCTTATTTCTATTTTATTTCTATTTAATGTCAGCCTCTCTTGAAATTGATGCATAGTTATGTAACTACCATATAGTCGATGTCAAACGATGGTCGTTGGCATGTGCATTTTTACCTGCTTTTTCTTATAGAAGCCCTTCTTGTCACAGTTTGGTATGCGAAAGCCTCTGGGGTTGAGAATGTGTGTAATCTTCAGGCTGCTGAGAATGCTCTCGATCTCTCTCCGACAGGGACCCTAAAGATGAAGAAACACACAAGAGGTTTCTGTACTTCCTCCAGTAGTTGAATCTTCATCTCAGACCTGAAAGCACTTCAGCAAATCTGAATGCAGATGATGCCATTAGCGCATGGTATTTTCTTAAGCCGCATATATTTAATGGTTTTGTAAATAAAGACATTAACAAAGCTGGCTCTCGATGCATCATATCACACAGTGCCCTGCTGTAACACTTAGACAATGATGGCTGCAATACGAAAGAGGGGACAGATGAGAAATTAATTCTTCTGACGGACTTATAGGGGCTTAACAGTTTGCCAAAGCTGCTTACAAGTCTTACTCTTTACACAAAGGATGGGGGGAAAAGTGAATTCAGAGAGCTCAAAGAGGGGCCAAAAGGCTTGTCCTCAAATCCAAGTACTCCACTCACTAATCAAAACAGCCAGTCAAAGCCCATTACTAGTGTGTGCTCACTTCTCTGTCCAAAGAGAAGATCAAAATAGCAGCAGGGCTTCCCAACAGGCACTCACATAGGCCAATCCATCATTTGCTGGCTCTCAGTACACCCGGCACGCGGACGCCTTGTGGCCAAGCAACTGCCTGACCTAGGTCAGACACAGGGACACCATACCCGCTCACTGCCATGCCATTCTACTGCTCATAATGCCTGCCAACCATCAGTACCGCTACCCAAAACATTCTTCACCCGCAGGGGGGAGAAAAATACCAAAACACAGAGGAAGCGGAGAAAAACATTCCTCCAGTGTGCTCTGAGGACAGAAAAATATTGGCTGTGGTACGTACATACTCAGGCTCCTGTTTGGTCTCTAGAGAGAAGTTTTGTTGGTCTGTGATGAGTGGTCCCGGGAGATGCTCCATTTTAAAGCTCTGGGTTTTCTTCTGCTCCTCACGCCTCAGGACTTCTGACTTGGTAGAGGGGAAAAAGGGGTGAAGCGGAAGTTTCAGGGGTTCCGTGGGTCTGTGAAAGCTGTATAAGGGCTGAAGATCTGAGCCAGTGGAATTGCGCTCCTCGCCCTGAGTGTCACTATTCTCTGCTGAAGTTTGAGAAGAACATGTGTTTATTTACACAAAAACTACACAAGAATATATAATTTCTATTTAAGGGAATACTTTTTATGTTGGTTAGGACACCTGGAAATCAGTTTGAGACTCAAAAATAATGCAAATTTTCAGAAGCATTTCATGAGATGTGTCAGTGAAGTGAATATGCCAGATGCCATATTGCAAATATGCTTCAGTGTTCAACTCCTGTAACCTTTTTCCTTTAGGAACAAGCTAAATAATTACACTATCTCAGGGTACAGTAGGTTCAGAATGATCCTAACCTGAAAATCAGCATTTAATCTTTGATAATGGATTCAGGGAGGTTCCGGTCTTCTGACTGAGTTACAAAAAGCACCTTTCTGGTTTTGTGCTGCACCTCTTTTACAGAAAGTCTAATCTGCCTCAACCTGCCTCAGCCTCCACATGAAGCAACTTTAATGAGTGAAATCAATTAGTGATTATGGTGCCCATCTGGATTTCCTTTGTGTATCATGGAAAAGGTGTTACTAAAATCCATTTTCCCTATTTGAAACACGATCTAACCAACGTCACCTTTTCTTGGGATTATAAATTGACAGATTCAATGGGGACAGAATAGATATAAAGGTATGCAGCATACAGTTACTGCACATCACCATGCCTATCCAAAGACTATAGATCTTCCTATCTCGCAGCTCCAGTTATGGGTTTTGAAGTGCGCTCAGGACGCATCCAAGATGCGCACGCACGAATTACCTGGCAGCTCATTGACTGGAGGAGTTGTTCTGACGGTTAGTCTTTTGCTAGTAGCGTTTCCACAAATCCCTCGCCCCTCCAGCAAAGCCTGCAGAGGTTTCGTCTCACCGGGCTGATGCCGACAAGTCAGTCCGAAGCCACATCTTCCGGTGTACACGCCGCAAGGCTGGCCGATGCTCAGGGCGCAAGTCATGCAGCAGCCGCAGCCCGGTTCCTGGACTCTCTCGGCGCAGACCTTGGGTAAAGGTTTGCACAAAAGTTGCGCTCCAGCATCACATGGCTCGCATCTGATAATCGGTCCGACCGCACCTGACCTCCGGCTAAACGAGGCCAGGACAAAAGTCATGCAAAGTGTGCGAAAACAGGAATCCATTGTGGCGTCTGATGGCATATGGAGTCAAAGACGAAGCTCACGGTTACACCGTAGTGGCTTTCCTTTGGGAAGCTTCTCTCTCATTCACATAATGCCACTGGCCAAAACGTCTCAATATATAGACCCTAGCGACTGTAGTCACACCCCCGAATAGCTTGTGGTCGACTGATGAATTGCCTCGACTCCCTTATTCCTTTAAAATCATCACAGCACTATGCTGGGGTTTTGCAGACCAGTAGAATAGTATAAACTATTTAGGCTACGATTTACCTTAAATGCAAGAAATAAAAAAAAAGCTGGCTTTTCTTTGTACATCATTTGATGGATTTAGTTGAACTATTCTATAGGCCTCATAGGCGATTGTTGGGCTATCAGACATAAATTTAAGGGCTAAAACAATACTATCCAAGAGAAATATCCCCACGGATGCTTTAATCTGCATCTGGTCTTGGTATGAAGAGTCGACTGGAGCGTGTGCTGTGCGCGTTTTCAGCCATAGGGGGCGCCAGGAGAGAGAGACAGAGCAGGAGCAGGAGAGCAGGAGAGAGAGGGAGAGAGAGAGGGAGTCTCAAAGTGACAACTGCAGGGAACCTATGAAGCTTAAATTGCCTTATTTTCTGTACAGTATGTCTGCGTTTGTTTTTCCTTGGTTCCGTGGGTGTGTTTACTTTTGTTGCACAAAGGTGTGTTTATGTACAATATACAACTACTGTATAGGCCTATAATACAAGGGGTGGAATGTAACCGAGAAGGAAATATGTATTTTGCTTAATGTTGTCAAACCATATGCCTACTTTACTCTCCACTTTATACTTCTGTTCCACTATGTGAGGGCAGTGATTGCTTTGCAGAATAGTATTTTACCTAGAAAACAATTCATTATCTTAAACATGGAGCGTTTTAAAATAGATTAAACAACCCAGCAGCGTGTAATTCTTTTCATTTGCTCCACCATGGCTATCTAGAATATCCTGTTTACATATGCTTTTATCAGATCTGCTGCTATTATTCTAGATGATCAGTTGCATAACATGGAGAACATCTACCAGGTGAACATTAGTGACCCGCCCATATCATATTCAATGTTTTTGTATTATACAGAGAATGAACCTCATTTACCTGTTCCTCACACATACTATAAAGCCGTGGTCTCTGAACTTGTTGTTGGGATGTGTGACATAGTTGGGCTTATTCTGGTCATTTGCCAGTGCTACAAAGCAGGCCATAAAATAAGTACACATACTGTACATGTGAGAAAATTCCTAAGTAATTATATCTATAGCATTTTGGGTGCACGATTAATTGGTTACAGATGAGAGAGGGAATACATCAGCGCAAAATATCCAGAATACCTCAAAAGAATAACAGCAGGAGAGGCGAGGTGTACAGTTTCTCTTTGCTTTTGAAATTTCTTGAAGGCCAATGTCAAATCAGTTGCCAACAAGCTCGGTGTCCTGCCTCCTGTTAACAGACAGGTCTACAGCAGAGCAGTGCTCAGTGGAATGCCAAACATTTGTTTCATATGCTAGAAAAAAAGGCTCTTGATTTTCCTCCCTCTCCTCTGCTCAGTGAGCCCTTTTTTGGTGGTGGTGGTGGTGGGGGTCTCAGCCACCTGTGCATAATCAGCATAGCAGAGGAGAGTGTCAGGCACAGGGAGTCGTACTGAAGGAATGACCAGTCATCCTGCAGAGCAGCCACTCAGTAATGAGGGAGTGTGAAGAATTTGCTTTTGCACACACAGGATATTACTGTACACGTGTTTAACATAACATGCTCTCATAGGTGGCAATGGCCAAAAGAAATAACTTGTCACGTCCTACTCTGGGACAATTCTCCACTGTTTTAAGATGATTTGAACAAACACGATACATTCTTTGATATTAGATTTATTTTAGAGTATTTAGCAATATAATACAGCAAAGGTCAGTTCAATCAAACTTTGGAAGAAAACAAAATCCTCACTTCCACTGGAACATACTGTATAACTGCACAGATAGTTTGGGCGTTTAACTATAAAAAGCTCTTTACACTGTAGAAAAGATCATTTTAAAAAGCAACAGCAACATGTCATTGTGTGGATGCAGAGTAAGCAGCATCCACATCCTGCCGTACCTCCTGGTACCTCCTGGTACCTCCTGGTACCTCCTGGTACGGCAGGTCGGATTTCAATTCTCTGTCAAGGCATGATAGATCGTGTAAGTGTGATTTAGATCCCTTTGCAATCTCATTAACCAAAAGCAGAAACCAATAAAAGTTCTAAATGTGTGTCTATCCAGTAGGTGGATAGCTTCCACTGTTTTAGGAATGCTCTCAAGCTCTCACCTTCTTCAGATAATGAAGTTCTATTCCCAACTTTAGTTTGGGCAATTCTTCAGCAATCAGCATCCACACACTTTTTATTCAGGAAATGCATTTGTCTAGTTTACATATGATATTTATACTTCAAAGTGAAATGATGGAAATGAATAGTTTACTAGGGTGAAAACAATATATTGATCTTATAAATGATAAATCTGTTAGCATTCTTTTCATAAGCATTCCAATACATTAGTTAACCTTCATTTCATTAAAACTGGAATGTATTATGATAATATGAAACAATGTGACTTCTGGCAGCTTCCCCACGTCTGGCTCTGGTGGTGTGATTTTGTCTGGGTTCAGTGGATGGTGTTACTGTAGTGACAGGGAAAAGCCCAGGAATCTGCAACAAGAGCCAAAGCTCACAAATTGAAAAGCACATAGTTTAATCAGCTGGAGGTCTGCAGAACATGTTTGGGTTAACCTAGGAGAAGTGTGGGTGTCTATGTGTGTAGCTACACACTGTACTGAGGTGTGCTGGAGTAAAAGAGGTGGGGTGGGAATGTTCAGGAATGAGACTACCACAGATCACATGACAAGTCTGGTATGATCACTGTTATTCTTTTTTCCCCCACAGTCTTATGATTGTCTCTTGTATAAGTGCCCCTGTCTGAGAGCTTTTGAAGCAGACTGTCATCCCAGATGAACTGGACACAAAGGTCTCCATTATGATTAATATAATCATTTCGCCCCTTTTATTTGGATCTGACTGGCATCCATTTGTCAATTATCTGAAAACGAGCCAAAAATGCTGAGGTCACCTTTCATCTGTTTCCATGGTTGATTCATTATTATTTTGGAGTGGTCTGTCCACAGAGCTGTCATGGTCTGCATTTCTGGAGGCTTAGTTTCCAAGGCAGTCCGCGGCTGTAATTGGGCCTGAGCAAAGTGGAAGGTGGAGAGAGAGAGAGAAGCTCTCAGCGCTCAGCCTGAGGAGTGGGCTCAGTCAAGCTGTACCCTGTGGGCTCCAAATCCCCTCAGACAGACACACTTCCTTCCTCATTTTCTCTTTGAATACCTTTGGTCCACAACAGTGGTGTCAAATCATTTAAATAAAAATGCAACTGCCAACACTCATTGACACACCATTACTCATCAAGTCAAAATTACAGTTGGCAGGAAAGGAAATATTACTTGCAGATGCAGGCTTTACATTTCTCCATTTGTTTTAATGTTTTAGTGGTGATGGTCTGGGGTTTCAAAAATGTGTTTCTTGTGCTGAAATGGAGAGACAAGGCAGTCTGTATAAATCTAGAGCTGTCTCTGACTGGTTCACTCTACTCTAGATACTTAATCTAGTTTACATTCTAGAATATGCAAGTCACATTAGCTTTATATTTTTTCCAGTTATTTTAGAATGGGTGTGAACCATGGTCTACCCCAGTTTTTATTCTTGCCTGACCTGAAGGGCAGAGGCCACTTCTCTTCTAATTCCTATTATCTATTACGTGGCCCGACGTGGAAGCCCAGTTTATCTCACAGCGTATTTTAAGGTTTCAGCTTTAGCTGAAAACCAAACAGGGGCCTCAGAGTGTGGTCCCAGAATGCACTCTCTATTTTTGCTCCTAAACCTTTGTTTTGCCTCAGAGTGAAAAAGATGAGCCCTGTCCCTTTAATTTAGTGTCTGTCAGCCTGATGAGTAGGACCTCTCACCTCCACATTATCTATGAAATGAGACTTGGTTGGCTTTAATCTGCTAACAAATACTGGTGTGAATTTGTGAAATGTATTGAAAAACTGGTCATTGTTGAAACAGGCTACTGTACATTTTTTTTCCATGTTTACACATACTGTTATTATTTGTGTGAATTCCTGAGAAGTTCCTTTGTACTCTAATAATGTCGCCTGGTTTCTCTGGACTTGCCCTGGCTTCTTTTATTTTGAGGCCACTCCACACTCATTAACAGAAGAGGATGTGCTCTGGGCTCTCTGCACTCACCATAACTGGGCCTTTGCTTACTTCCTGCCTTGCCCAGGAATTCTTCCCTTTCACCACCCACAGAAGGACACCAGTGAAGGGGTAGGTGTGGGGTTCTACCCCATTACAGTTTCCCTCCCTCTTGGTCTAGACTCTGAAATGTTATTCCCTCTGAGCACCTTTAGAACAACCTGCCCAGACAAGTATAGAAGTAGAATTTTCTTTTCCTGTACTTCACAAATGAGACAATGGATGTGTGTGTTGAATATGTGCATGTGTACTGAGAAAGAAAGACACAGATGTGTGTGTTCTTGAAAAAATGTAGTGATGGTCCACTTTGGTATTTACTATTCCACATTTATGCTACAGCTAAGGAAGTGAATGTAACAGGGGAAACAAGCCAGGTCACAAAGCCTCTCCATTCATGTACAGGCTCAAAGGCTTTGTAATGTTAGTGTCCTCTGCTGGTTGAAAATTTAACTGAACCTATTCCATTCTTTACAGTTACAGTATGTTTCCACCAGGGTTTCATCATTACTTTCCCCTGGGCAGCAGTGTCACATTCCACCTATCCTTTTCACATCTTTGTGAGATTATAGCTTTCAGCTGGTTGCCTGGCAGTGGTTTTAAATATGTCAATCTTTTTAACAGATCACTGAGATTACATAAATGTTTGTTTTTGTTTATTGATGGTAAATGGTATGATACGTATAAACAGAGGTACAGTATTGGATGAGACAAGTATGAGGTAATGATAAGTCAGAAAAATCATAACAAATGTGTATATATAATAAATGAAAGAATATCACAGAGGTTTTTTTGTGGTGACAGGTCTCTCTATCGGATTTCCTACACACACAAAAAAGTTGAAAAGAATTTTTTTTTTTGTCATTATCTCATATACAATATCAACAAGCACTCAACTGGGGTAATAATAAACGTTATCTTTCTCCCAGAACAAGTATATTATATATATCATTGACAGAGTATGTCAAATACTGAATTTATTTGTGCACTACTAACACCGAGCACTTTCTTTCGTCCCAGTTTTCCTCTCAGAACATGGACAACGTGGATGCAGTGACAATATTTGTTGTGTCACTATAGCAGCCTATGTTTTTTTTAATCAAATTTAATCTACAAAATAATGAATAGTAATTTACTTTGACAATGAAACACTGCAGTGCTGTTAGTGGGCATGCACCCTGACAAAGAAGACAAAACAAAGTCAAATTTGGCAGCTGTAAAGGGAATGCGACCATTTCTTTACAAAAGTACCAATATGTTCCTAATCAACTCATGTCAAGTCAATATATATTAGTGTTTAAAATATTCTTCTTTTGTTTGTGTCATTTCACACACATGCACACACACTTTCATTAAAATGTTGCTGATGGTTTTTTAAGTGGTCATATTCATACATCTTAAGAAGAAATCAGTTTCAGAGAAGTCACATATATGCCACACAGGTACGAAGACCATGGTTAAAAATAATAAAAATGTACATTGCATAGATAAAATAAGATAATCCTGTATCTGATGTAGTCAGTCTCAGAGTCCAAACGATATCCTCTGCTCCTCTTATGCACATTTTAAACTCCACAAGTCTATAGTACCTCTGGACAGATGCAGCATAGAGGTGCTTCTACACTGGTTACAACTTTATAGAATGTTAATAGCTTGAATGAAGCTTGTTTTGATTAAATATTTGTGGAAAAACATTGTATGCAACAAGGTAGGGTTTTTGACTTATCCTTAAAATGCATGAATGCATGAATAAGAAAAGCAGCCTTGTGATATGTACTTGAACTATTTTTAGAATGAATATATACAGTATAAATGTATGAACTGTTCTGAAACAGTAGAAAAAAATACACATTTCTTATGATTTTGATATTTTCTTAATTTGGCTAATTTACAGTTCATTTTACAGGAAAGAAAAATAATAAAATACAAGGGGATTTATATTTTTTAAGCAAAAGATGCAATTAAAATGTCCTGGTGCTAGTAAGGGATGATGAGATATCCAGTTAATATCCAGGGTTAATGTCCAGGTCATCACCATCTTCACTCCTTACATTTTGTCCTTTATTCAGCCTTTCAGTCTATATGTCTTGTTTCTGCTCTTAGTAAAAGACTGTTTAGGTGAGCAGCTCTGTTCTACTTACTCTTCTGCGAGCCAATCATCACCTTGGAAACAAAGTTGACAATGGCACTGGCTGGTTGCTCAGGGTCATGCTCCGCAAATAGGTGACATATATTGTCCATGGAAGTGCCGGTTTTCCTGGCAACAAAGCCGAAGATCCTGCAGAGGTGGAGCAAAGAAGTTAATAGCAGCGCTCTTATCTGCATGGCTTTTAAAATAACTGCTGTTCTGGTTGTAGCTGTAAAAAAAATAAAATAACAAACTTACTTTGCTGAAAGGCCACCATCTTTTTTCCACCTATGTAGAGTGAATAAAAGGATAGTACTCATCAAATACACAGACCCTGCACTTGCACATTTAAAATATAAAATTTTACTGGGTAAATTTGTTGGTATTCTGTTGCTTATGTAATTTCCTGCTCGAGTTGTAACCACACATTCTTGGAGTAATAACAGGTTTGCCTAAAATAAGCCATGATCAACACTCTAAAAAGCCTTCAATGACATGTGTTACAACTTTAAATTAGCAGTACTCACTTTCTATCTTGAGGGTCCAAAGCACAAAATATAACTGTACTGACATTGTAATGCCTCCTGAAGAAGAGCCTAAAAGGAAACCAGGGGATGGTAACTGTTAGAAAAAGGTCTCACCATGGACACATATGTATAGTGTGAATGTTCCTGTGTGATACTCACTTTCTCTGGTTATCAGTGAGGGTGATTCCCTGGGAAGAAACTTTGAAATGGACTACAGTGGAGGTTGGCGGAGGGTTGGCACTCAGAGTCATACTGGTGGCTTTCTGAATGGCCTGAATGCCGGTAAGGGACTCCATCTCCACAGAGCCCAGGTACCACACATTACAGGCTGCAGGGACACACATTCTCATTAGGAGTACATCACAACTACTAAGTGCAAGTATTTGTAAGGCAAGTGTGTTCTGTGACATAGTAACAAAAAGCGAGACCATAATAACAGGACAATAAAAAAATGGCTGTGCGGATGCAATCATTTCCAGAACTATCACACAATTGCTCACAAGTATTTAAGTACAGTGCCACTGTTGCTTTGTCATATTTATTCATAGAAAGTGATGTCAGGCACTTGATTACCTGCACCCTGTCTTAGCAGCTCGGCAGCAGAATTGGTGATTGATTGTGAGGTGTTCTCCACAACATCTTCAAGAGGATCTATATAAATCCAAAATATCAGTGACACTGTCTAGTGAACACAACAACAGCTACATAAATAAATAAAACCACAAAACAGAAATATTCTTTTTTCTTTACTGATCATAGCATTTTACAAAAAAAAAATATCAGTGGGTGACTGTATATGTGTGTGTGTGTGTGTGTGTGTGAATGTTTACCTTTGTCAGGTATAATAAGTTTACAGGGCAAGGCCAAGGGAGTGATTGAATGTTGGCAGACCAACGCGGTTAAGCTTCCTGTAAAACAATAACATATGAAATTAAAAGTACGGTCAGATTTGATGCTTTATTACCATATCAATGTTTTTATTACATCTTTTCCTACTATTATTAAAAAGATGGCAACAAATAAAATCATTAAATTGACTATTTCATCAAAGAAAGTACAATCAGTGGAATGACAAACTTTTATTTAATTGACTATCCATGTAATGCCAAGTGTTTTCATCTGTCACTGTCCCCTTCAGCGTTACATAGTTACCAAACACTAGCCACTGGTACAAAATGCACCAAGTCCAGTAGAGGGCAGTGTTGTGCATGAATGCTTTAGAGCAGTGTAGCCAAACAGCCAGGAGCTGTCACTGTTGTAAACAGGCGCTCACCAAAATAGGGCTCATTGGGGCAACCCTTCAAACGAACTCCCTTCTGTGTACACTCAATCAGAAAGTGGCGCACTAATTCATTGGACAGATCACCTCCTGTTAGAAAAAAGGGCAGATTAGAGATGCAGATAGACACACAATAATTAATTCCTCACAACAGTCCGTGGTCTGTTTTGGCTAAACTGTCCTCTATTTAGACACCCTAGATTTACCCTGGCTTAAATAATAGCTACAAGCATTTATCTCAGTACATCATGTAATTTCCCAGCCTTGAAGCATTACACACACTGTATTAAACTGTTACATTTTGTCTCTCCAGAGACTAATGGGATTATGATTCAACAGACGCGCCTCTGACGGGGTCAGGAGGAGTGTGGAATGTCTCGACAAAGACACAAAGGTTTGGAGAAAGGCCTGCTTCTTAAGGTGGGTTGGGTTTCGCACTTATAAGAAGCCACGTGATGTCACCACAGGTGCCCTTGGATTACTGAGGGGTGAAAGCAAACAAAAGGAGAGGTGTGAGTGGGGGATAAATGAAAGGCCGGCAGAGGGAGGACATAACAGCATCCTTTGAAAATATACTTTATAAATAATCAAACTTATTTCTGATGCTTACTGTGTAGGATTTAATGTCCTGTGTCCCATTTTTGAATAAGAATAAGTGAAGTGAGAATCTCTATCATCACTCAGTGAGCCTTTGTTTTCCTGTTGAAATATGGCCAGAAAATGCTATGTGGGGCAAGGAACTTCCCAGGAGAAGGCCATGGGATCAGAGTAGGCTGATGGACTTGTCACATCTTTTGTTAAGGGGTGAAACATTAGCTGTACATTTAAAACTATCAGGCAATAGGGGTCTGATTGGCTTCATCATGATGTTGCCCAGGAGAGAAACGCGGAGTGAAGAGCTCTCACACACAAACAGAGGAGAGGATTCTCATGTTCCACCATAAAGGTGAGTACAGTGCATTGTAACTGTAGAAGGCTTTGTGTGGGATTGTGTGATCTATGCTTCCCATGAATAGTGGTGGACCAAACCCTGATATTGTCACTATGATGACGGAAGTATACTTCTCAGCATTTTGGAAAATAACATTTTGGAAATACATGTTCGATACATTTTCCTTTCCATCCTGAGACTGAGATGAGAGGACCAAAACTGCTCTCAGGAATGTGATTCAGTTATGAAGATTGTGGTTAGCTTAGCATAAAGACAGGAAGCTGGGGGTATAAATAAATATAAATAAATAAATGTCACTCTTATAAAAAAGCTAGTGCATTTCTCAAAACTGTTAAACTGATGACACTTCAGGAAGAATGTTCCTCTAATAATACTTTTAGCAAATCAAATCTTAGTTTAAACCAATTTATTATAACACAAACACTGAAGATAAAAGGTTGCAATCTGCTATTTTTGTCATCCATACGTATTGTACCTTTCTTGGTCTGCTGAAGAACGGAGGGTGGTGGTGTAGCCACCTTCATTGCTAATCCATAGGCCCCTTTGAAGGAGTGGCTGTCCCTCACAATGAAACAGCCAGGCTCCTTATCCTTCAGGATGGATATGGCTGAGTGAAGAGAAACATAATTGTGAAGTTACTCTATAGTTCTGCAGAACTGTTTCTTTTCCTTTATTACTTTGGATCAAAAGTAGATCCTACCTTGATCCCTTGAGATATCAGGCTTGTACCAAAATCTTGACGTATCCTGCACAAATTTTACAGTAACCTGCTTGCTGGCCAGTACATCTGGAAAACACACAGTGTAGCCAAAACAGCTAAAGCAGCAGTCATTTGTATGTGTTAATGAACTCAAAGTGACACCAATGAGATTATTAGTTTCTTCAGGAGACCTTAGCTTACCTGGCAAAGGCGAGGCCGTGCCTGGGATCTGAGCTGACAGGTCAGGCAAGGCACTGGGGAAGGGAATACTCAGAGAGCTGCCACTGTGGGGACTTGAGAACCCACTGAGGGCTGGAGAGGCTGTTCCCAGCGAATGCTCCCCATCTGATGCCCTCTTTTTCTCAGGAAGAAGTGGAGCCTGAATCTGGGACTGATTCTGCCCATCCATGGAGTTCAAAAGCTCTCTGTCCATGCCTCCATTTCCCAGCAAAGAAGAGGTGGAGTTCAGACAATCTGTGCCGTAACTGAGACCAGAATCATCTTGCTCGTCAAAGCTTTGAGCGGCAATGTGGCTTGGAGCATAGCGAGCCATACGACTTCGCTGGCTGCTTTGGGGGGAGCTGTGGGCATTGGGAGCAGGGTGGATATGGGCATGGTGAAGGGGAGGAGAGTGGTGGCCATAGTCCAGTGACATAGTGTGCTGCGGTGGTTGCCTGGCAGAAGTGTAACTACCTAGAGAGGAGTGATGGCCCAGGACAGGATGCTCTGGCCAGGACTGGTTCATGGATGAGCTGAAGTTAGGAGGAAAATAAAGGTTGTAAACACAGAGTAAATTAATTCTGTTTGATCTTTGGTCTTAATACTAGAACTGAACATTAGTAGACTTTGATATAATATGGAAAAAGTGCTAGTACAACAGTACTAGACTCCTTTGGTCTCTAGTGATAAAAATGGTGAATGCTACTTTAGGCATTTGTATAAGTCAGATCTCTACCTGTCTGAATGCTGAAGGGACCCAACAATCGAGGCAGAGTGTGTAGCACTTAGCATCCTGTGGCAGTTGATGGAGGAGTCTGGCAAAGCCTGAACATGACCGATCATCTCTGAATATCCACGGGGTTCTATAGGAGCAAGAAAATTCATATTTAAGAGTGCTTCAAGCACATTTATGTACACGCTCAGAGTCAGGAAAAAGCTGTTTTAAATGTTGTAAACATAAAAATAAATACAAATGATACTAAAACGTATGCTAACTGATGCTAAACCACAGCTAGGGTTTTTTTTTTTTTTTAGGAGAAAAGCTGCATTTAAAAATAACAAAAACTTAAAAAGAAAAAAAATCAACTTGCTGTATCAAATGGGACGGTGTGATATAGAAAGAAATTGCCACAAAATGGAAAAAACACCCCTCAGCATTGACCTCTGAGTTATTTCCAGTAACAAAATATCAATATTCAATGTATCAATTATCTATACCACTTATTACTGAATAGGGTCGCGGAGGGGTCAGGAGTCTATCCCAGCTGACATTGGGCGAGAGGCGGGTTCCACCATGGATAGGTCATCAGTCTGTCACAGGGCTGACATGTAGTCAAACAACCACGTACACTCATAATCACTCCAACGTGCAATTTAGAGTCACCGGAGAGAACCCACGCACGCATGGGGAGAACATGCAAACTCCACACAGAAAGGCAGCGACTCGGCCTGGGCTGGAACCCAAAACTTTCTTGCTGTGAGACAAGGCTAAGCACCGTGCCACTGTGAATTTGAAATCAAATTAAAACTGTCCATATGGCCTTAAACCCAACCATCAATCAATATAAAATCAATCATCAATTCCCCCTGCCACAACCCACAGAGTCAACAAATCAGACTTCAGCGTAGCTAGAAATTACAACCCTTCTGACATAATTATGCTAAAGTTTTATTTGACTCCGTTATGATCTGGGGCCACTGACAGCCTCAAACCTATAAGGTCTTTTTTTCAACTCAGGCTTTACAACCAACTTTTCTCCAGGTTAATTTTAATTAGTGCAAAGCTGAATAAGGTGCTGGTTTCTTCTTGTGCCTGTTTCCCTTCTACACAAAAACACTTTCATGGGGGAAGAGAAGTTTTTTGTGTCATGCCACCTGACCCGCAGTAACCATGGAAATGGAACGGGACTGAATGTGGCGATTCTTGCCTGGATGTGTGAGGTAGTAAGAGGCACAGCAGGGGGAAGATCTCCTCCCAGGCCCTACAACCTTTACACACATACAGTACTGCAGATCTCTGTGGAAACATGTCAATAAGAATCACAGTGAAAATTAAAATGAAGGTTTGGTCCAAGCTGAGATCACACATCTCTATGTGGGTAGTTCCTGACATGTACAATCTTGTGATTCTGTGACAACACTGATCCAAAAACATGCAAAATAAAACACAGCTAACTTAATTTAAACTATCTGTGATGCAACATGCACAGCAGAATGACTTTCAGCCAAATATATATATATATATATCTATCTATAGATAGATAGATATATACACTCCATACATAAACAAAAAAAAATATATATATATCTGAAAGGACTTTGGAATTTACATCAAACTGTACAAATGCTGCTACAAAGTATTGCACAACATTTCCCAACTCTGAGCACAATCTTACAGCCAGGGTGTGTCCTCCCTCAGCAAACACCACAGGAAAAAAAAAAACCAAAACATCCACACAAAAAGAAACAAAAAGGGCTCAGTTTTAATATAAAGACAAACAATGCTATGTCTAAAGCTTATTTTCTTTAGGTCGTGACCACACAGACATTCTCCAAAAACCAAACAAGAAGGCAGAGACTGGTTAGGAATCTCCCTTATTTTGCATTTAAGAGATGTCTTCATTTCGGCCCCGTCTCAAAACTGCTAAAATTCCACAAACACACACACACACACACAAAGAAAGGGGGAACTGAAATAGCTGTTCTAATGAAATAGTGGAGCCACAGATGTCTCTTACAATAATCTCCTACTCAATGAGTGTCTTTTTTGTCACTCACTGTCTTTAATTGGTTGTGAGAAAAACAAAAGTTAAATGAGGAATAGTATGTTAATGATTTGTTCATCACTGCAGTTCGGTCAGCTGTTTAACTTCCTAAAATAAGGTGCCTCTTAGAAAAAGGGCAACTGGTTCACAATGGAATGACAATTATGTGTTTTAAATAACATATATACCATCAAATTATATGGGTACTTGTTTTTCTATAGTGCTGTTTCGTTTTCCAGTGTCTATTTTAAATGCTGTTGTTACACTCATGAAGAAAGGCCACTTTCTTCTCTCAGACTGAAGGTTGTTCACAGCCTCATGTGATGCTCGGTCTTTTCAAAACAATGGGCTCAGTTTGGATTTAGTCCCAGAAGTTACAGTATAAGAACCTACCATGGTCTGTTCTGTATCCTCCATAAGACTGCATGCTAGGAGCTGGTGTTTGCCTAATGTGCACCAATTCCGGCATATTTTTCACTGAAAACACAAATGAAACAAGGATGGGCATTTACTTAGACCTAACAAACATGCTAATGAATTATACCTATTCACGGTGACACAGGAAACATACTGTACTTACCATAAGGTGTAGGTGGAGAGATGGGGAAGGCAGGAGTAGGAGGAGTCATCTCACTCCTGGCTTCAACTCTGCTGTCCATGTCTGGGTCCTGGGCCCTGTAGTCAGCGCTGTCACTTCTGTATAGCATGGGATGCTGGAGCAAACAACACACAAACATGCTTGCATGTACAATAAGCACTCACTGAAAAGAGAATTTTGTGGGACAACAAGAACTGCACATTGTGCAAGTATGATGCATTTACCTGGGACTGTGGCACACAGGGAGAATACGTCTGCTGGCCTCTGAGTTCTTCTGCCGCAACCCACCCTGAACTACAAAAGCCTGGGTGATTTGGGCCATCGCTGTCTTGGTGACTCAGACTTCGTGTGACACCCATCTGTCCTTCACTGGACTGGACAGCTGGATACACACAAGTAAACAACAAAATTGACAGGCATCACTTATTTCTAGGCAGACAAATAAATAAAAATCACTGAAAGGAAAACAGTACTTCGGCCTTCTGGAATTTTTTTTTTAAATAAAAGTATTCAGCAAAATGTTTAAACATTCTCCTAGCACCGTATCTTCTTCTAGAAATGAATTCTGAAATAAAAACAAAGTAGACTATGTTGGAGAAGAAACTATCACAAAGTTAATACAATATTTTCTGAGCTCAAGCTATTGCAATGGCAAATTCATTCAATCATATGTGAATTAATAAACCTGAAGTTAAAGCAATGTATTCCACTGCACAGTTAAATTGAACTGTGTGCTGACAGTAACACTCATTTCAATTTGAATGATGATGAGGACAACCTCGTAAATGAGGCGGCTACTTTTATGACTTCTCCCTTAAAAATGATTTGGATTGATGACACTTTAATGTGGGCAGTCTATAAGTGGGCAGACCACCCCGCTTACCCCAGTGAACAGCCTACGGCCATGCTTTGAGAGGAGAGCTGAGGAAGATCAGGGGTCTAGTTGGTGGTCTGGAGAATGTGTGTGGGGAGGGTCAATGTTGTGACTGCAACTAAGAGTGTTTCCACTCAGCACCAGGGTGTTAATTTGAGCCCTCCCAGTAAACACCAGCCCCTCAGCCATGAAGAATGCTAATGGGGCAGAGGTGCTAATGCCTGGGATCATTACTCATTTTGTCTAGGGCGAGTATGCATGACACAAGTGTCATGCATACTTGGCAGTGTGTCTTCATGCATATGTCACTGTAAAGTAAGTGTTTCCCCCCTTTTTTTTTACTTAATCATAGACATCTGCAGGATTCTGTGTAACCGTTTATCATAAAGCCAAAAAATGTCAGTTTTTTGTCTGTATGTTGATTTTGAAATGTCAGAAGCAGTCATAGGGAGTGTCAAGCATGAATCTATCATGCAGCAGGTGCACACTCTCTCCAGTGATTCGCTTTCAGTGTCATCATTTCTGTAACCTAATATGACTCCAAGAGTGTGGTTAGGCACTATAATTTATAGAGGATCATGAGGGAACAGTGAATTGGCTACACACTACGCACAGAGCTTGTGCTAAGTGGTTATTTTAGTTATAAATGACTTGGTACTCAAATTCATTTTATATTTATTTATATAAAAATGCTACATATATTAAAATATATTGTGAAAAATGATTTTATGCATATCACCCTTAGACTGAGACATACATTTGAAAGGTGAGTTTGAAAAAAGAGAATACAGTAAATATAATTCAAATACAACAAAACAAATCTTTGTTTTACCGGATTTCTCATGCAGGTCTCTGGTGGAGACCATCCCCCACTATACTGACCTGTTTGTCACCTCTAATCGGAAAAGCACAACTGGTATAGTTACATGGATAGTCTATATAAACACAAGCCAAAAAGCTGTATATGAGTATGAATTGCTTTAAATAGCCATAGTGAACTAGCTGTTGAATCAACATAATTTAACCATAAATAATTTCTGCTCCAACTTTATGTTAGAATCAGCCATGCAGAATAAGCTACAGTATAACTGACCACTGATGCAAACCAATTAAAAGTCTGCATTACTTTCAATAGGATATTTGTGAATTGGCAAATTTGTGGTCCTTGGTGTTTGTTTCTTGAACTGATGCCTCTGTGTAGTTGATATGCAGTAGAAAAAAAGACTGCCCCTGGGCTCACTTCATCTGCTTTTGGAAATTCCTCAGGTCTCTCTATCTTGTACACCCCTGCAACCACACGTTCATGCTGGAGTGTGATTCACGCACTGCTCACACCCAGACAGCTTTTTGAATTGTCTCCGCCTCATCTGGTTTTCAGCCAAAAATAAAAAGTGTGCTATTGCACTTAGCATGTCTATTCTGGAGTCAAAATGACTGAACTTTATAACCTGTAAGGGTAAAACAAATCTCAGAAACAACTTGCAACGACATGAATGAAATGTAAATACATTTGGTGGATATCTACCTTAATATACATGACCAACCCGTTTAGTATTATAAGAACTCAAAAGAGAAGAGCCTGGACAGATGGGAAGTGTAATGGTGCACAACAACAGCATGAAACAGCAATAAGGACAACATGACTAACAATAAATGCAAGAAGTGTTGTGTTATGTGTAATGCTTAAAACCTCCACACAACAACAAGCTGTCATTTTGTGGGAAAACACGATGTTATGGACTTTGATTTTGTAAACATCTGGATTCCTCAGTATGCATCCTCTGTAATCAAACATTGCGAGACTGCAACGTACAAAAAGGTTGACGACAGCTGCTCTCCCTCTCTACTTGTACCATACTGATCCTGTAGTCAGATAGCTCTACAGACAAGTCTGGACGGGGGCTCTTTCTTCAGCAACATACTGAAAACATCTGAAAACCTGGCAACAACCCTGCTATTTCTGCCACTAAAAAATGCCAGGTGGGAGATGGAGAGAAGGTGTGCTTTGTTAACTCTGTGGCAAAGGAGAAGAAAAGATGATGTGGTTGGAGAGAAACTACTGTTTTTTAAAAAATATTCTTAGTATGTGAATTTAGGTTGTTTTATTTCTTGTATTTTTGCCATGCTTATTAGGCATATCAAGGAAAACAACTTCTCTGGTTTCATAATGACTGTCACATTTCTTTTCACGACCACATCATCACTACCATCACCACACCCAGACTGTCTGACTATCTTACCTGTCTGCTGTGTGTTTGTCAGGGTTGCTGCATTATTTTCGTTGAATCTGAGACCGATGCCGTTCGAGCATTTGCCAACTGAGCCATTTACGTGCATGCTGCTGTTCTTCTTAATAGAGCTGCTGTGGTTCAATGCTGGCACAAATGTGGGATCCAGGTCCATGATCAGCTGATTGAGCTGGTCGATGGAGTTGTCAATGTCCATTGTTAAAGATTTGAACTCCTCATCCCGTTTGTTGTTGTTGTTATTGTTTATTGTTGCCTGTTCTTTGTGGGGCGCCGAGTTTCTCAGGGAGTCCACCACTGAGCCCTTTGGTTCAGTGGGCAGGCCTGCTTTGGATGAACAGCTCCCCTGCTTGTTCCCTGGGTACCTTTCTGTGTCATTTCCATCCTCCGGCATGTAGATGAAGTGTTGTGCAGCAACCATCTGCTGCTGGCGAACCCAGGACTGTGTGGAATAGCTTCCCTGTCTGTACACATGCTGCTTGGGCATGGGAGCGCTATTGGGATTAGAGGAAGCCACAGAGTTGCTCCTGGAGGTCACAAAGCCACCTCTAGCCTCAGAATAGGCTCTCTCATACTCCTCCATGGCAGGGGGAGCAGGATGGTGAAGGTGGTGCTGGCTTTGGCTCTGCTGGTCCTCTACTCCTGGACTCCCAAAGCCATCTGACAGCAGGGAGTTTTGACTGCTCTTGTGGCAGGAGGACGACAAAGTTCCTAGACTGTCCACACTGTGCAGATCATGGCCTGTAATGACCTCATCATCCAGGATGTCTGTTTCTCTCTCTCTGGGACGGGGGTCTCCATTGATGTGCACTTGAGCTGGAACTATCTGTTGGATGCCCATCCTAGGACCTTGATCATCCATTTCCTCCAGTGAGGGCTCCTCAAGTCCAAAGCCACTTAGGAGGCGCTTCAGCTGAACCTTTTCCTGCTGGCTGGGGCCCTGGTTAGCCTTGACAGTGGTAGTGGTGGCGGTGGGGATAGGTGTTGGTCTATCTGCCCACAGGGAAGTGCTAGACAGGCCCGAGTCACTGCTGACAGAGAGAGCGTGGTTGCTGTGGTCAGGGCTGGAGGTGGTTGTCCGGGCCCCACGGCCCACTGTGGCCTCTCCTCCACTGGGGCTCCTCTTGTTTGCCACTTTGTCCTGGGTTAGGCCTTGAGAGCGTGGTGCTGAAAAATAGAAGAGATGCAGTGCTTCATAGAGACAGCTGGTACGGACACATATACACAGAGACACACAAACAGCAGCAACTCGTACAAACAAACAGCAAAAAATCACAGACAAAGCAAGACTATGTTAACATACACCAGTCATGTCAGTATGTCGTTTCACAAATTCTTTAATTAAGAATCTGTTTTTGACAAAACTCAAAATTAATAATCACACCTCACCTAACAACATTCGATTCAACATTCCAGACAATACAAACTATAAATCACTAGGATATTGATACACTGGCAGAATAATGTGAATCATGTTACTGAATTGAGACAAACAATCCAGTTAGATGTGTCAGGAAAATCTAGACATGGTAAATTAACCCTCTTTTTTATATTCTAATCCAAGTTTATTTCATTTCAAGCATAGGTACTTCAGTTATCCTAATGTGACAACTTCTCACTCTCCTGTCAGGCCATGAGGTGAACTGCCAAGGTGTAGGCAGCACACATGCAAGACAAAGGTGTTCCTCATGCTCAGGTTATATAAGATGTGCTAAGTCTTCTGGATGCAACTGTAAGAGCCAGACGGCTGTGGATTCTCAGAATCTGACCCCTGCATTCCTCACCCTGCTGTGATCAAGCAACTCTACTCCCTCTCACTTGCCCCTTGACCCTGGCATATGTGCAAACAACTGCCTTAATCCTTAGAAGTAAGAAAAAATCAGAGAGGTCAATTGTGTTGCAGGGCAAGGTCAAATCCATCACAGCATACAGTACATAATGTTAAAAGAAATCAAGTTCAGCCTTGATAGACTTACGCAAAGTGAGGGCTGCAGAAGAATTCCAAATGTATATGAGCAGTACTACCAAGTAGGTAAAACCGCTGTTTCGCTGTCACTCTCCCTCTGCCTCAACAAAAGAGAGCTGGAACATGACTCCTGCACTTTTCCCTCTCTGCATCTACTACCTTAAGTAGTTTCCTTTCAGAAAAGCCATGACTGGAGGATCTGAATGCCAGACACGCATGATAAAAGCTCCCCCACCTCCTCTTCTCAAGAAAATGTGTATGTAAGGCTCACCCCTCCCGCAACCCACTCACACAAACATTTTAGTGAAACCTACATCTGGCCTTCAGCAGCCTTGGCTCAAGCCTCCTTGCAGGTCAGATCTGTCGGGAGGTTTCCAACAAATCCCTCTTGTAACATTCTTTCTGGCAAGGTACAAGCAGGTTTTAAGACAGATGTTTTCCCTTTCCCTCAACATTGGCCATCTTTCTCATTTTCTGTCATCCCCTGTCATCGTTCTGCCTCTCCTTTCATTTCCCTCCCCCTCATGACCACCCATCTGTTTTATGGAAAAAAATCGACTTACCTTTGAGGCCACTGTAAGGTAAGCGCAAAAGACAATCCCTGTCTCTGGTTTAACAAAACCTGAGGAGGAGAAAAGGCCATGTGGACACAGATGAGCGGACATGGCTTTTACCCGGCACATAATGGTAAGGGTCAAATCAAGAGAGTTCCAATAAGTTGGCCGGGCTTTCTTTCTCTGCTGAGAAGGTGAGAGTGTTTGCACTCCACACAAGGGGGGACCTTGAGATCTCCAAATAAGGGCACAGGAATGTAAACAAGAAGGGAGGGATTTAAGCTTGGGGGTGGGCCAGAGGAAAGCAGTAACTCAACCTCCTACCCTGCATCAGGGGACTACCCGACTGGGGAGAGAAGGGGGTAAAAAGAAAGGCAGAGAGTGAAGGCGGACCAGAGAATGAAAACAACATTCCTGCAGCTCCAGATATTTTCACTCAGTAGAAAGACACTTTTTAATTAAAGGAATCCTTGCCTTCTACTTTAAGCACTGTTCAGTTTTCAGTGCGTAAAGTAGTGGCAGCCAAGTTGTTTTTCTCTCACTCTTGTGTGCCATGACATGACATGCCTGTATGTACAATGCAGCCACAAAACAGATGTGCCCTAAATTCAATTATGGGGTTCAACAAAAGTTTTAAAAACTGTTTTACCTATCACTGGCATTAACAAAACTATAAACAGTTATCCAAGTATGTTTTTAGCTAGTGAAGTTAAGAAAATCACTCAAACCATTTATATTTAGCATTTATCATGCTGGTTGTTGTGGTATGGTCAGTCTCTGAATAATCTACCAATTACAGCACAGAGAGTGGCGAGACCAGAACTGTTCCTCTAACTGCTCTCACATCACAGGAGGTCTGGTCGTATATGGCCATGCAATTATCTTACCCTTCCCATTCCTTCTCAGTTGCTATACCACACTTCATAAACCAAAACCATGAGTCAAAAGCATAATGATGATAATTCTCATTTCCTTCTCTTCAAACCTCTGCCTCCAGTGTGGGGAACACAGCCCTCCAAGAAATTTATCTTTTTAAATTCTGGGTACAACTGTAGAATAGTTTTGTTTAGAAGTCCTGTATTAAATATAGACAGTGTAATGTGACAGTAAAATACCTGTTAAATACAGCACATTGTCCAGAAAGTCGAGATATAAATGTTTGTTGATGGCACTAAATATTAACACGTTTTAGTTAAGGCGGATTCACTGATGCATAACTCTGTGGTTGATATAAGAGTTGCAATATGATGTGATGGAGAATGAATCAATTACCTTTATTACAGTATTACTTGGTATTAGATAGAAATGTTCTCATGCTTCGGATTATGTGCCTATCCCATAGTTTAGACTCTTAACTCTGAAGCACCATTCATGCTGGAAACTTTGGATGTCACCTGTCATGTGATATTCTTTACATGATACCAAATCCAATACAATAGCTGTGCTCCATTTAGCCATGCTGGCGTCCCGGGGGGGAACTGTAGGACAAGTGCATCCGAAAACGCTTACGCAGGTGCTGGACCAACAACTTGAAAGCAAAAAACATGAAAAAAGTCAGTACACTGCATTATGCTCCCAGTGATGTAATTCAGCAGTAACGTTTCGATCTGTAAAAGATCTTCATCGGGTGCTGTCAAACAGGTGTTTCTGTGAAAAACACATTTATATACACCTGCTAAGACCCCGTTCAGGTGTTTTCAGTCTGACTGGAACAACCTGCTTCAAATTAGATTTAAGACCATTTTTGTGATATGGTTAATATTTGGTATATGATATATTGGTTGTTTCTTGTTGAAATTGGATTATTGACTAGAAATTTTTAATGGTTTTCAAAATTGTTTTTTTTATTAATTTATCTTGTTTCATGTGATTATATCATTCATTCATATGTTTGATATTTTTCAAAATTTTTTCATATTACATTCGTTGTCTTCTTGATAGCTCCTCCCATGCTGGCATCTTTTACTGCCTTAGTGCAGCGTGAAATGTGAAACATCAAGGTTTGTGGCAACTTAATGACTGGCTCAGCAGTCTGAAGGAACCCCAACCCAATCACTTCCTTTTCTGCCTCAGTCACTGAAAAAACATAGCACGATGCAAGAGCTAACTGAGTCCAAGGGTTGGGTCTATAGGGTCACATATGTGCTGGCTCGGCCTTAGCATCATGGATCAGGGCTACAGTAATATTAGCTGTAAAAGCATCACAAGACTTTTCTTTGTTAGATATTCAAACTTTATTACAGTTTTATCAGACCACAACAGAAATGACTACAATATACTGACATAGTATTATACAAATAATCTGAAGCTTTGAAAACATTTTAAAGCATAAATATTACAATAATTGTCTGAGGAGTAAAAACCCAAGGTACTTCTGTCAAATTTGGATGAAGTATCACAATATAACTGCAGATACTTTCTAAATGCATGAGCAAATTAAACTGTATTATCAGTAGTATTGTATTCCATTTCTGTTAACATGGTAGAAAATACAGTCCCATGCAAATTGTTGCCTCATTATGGCAAGTGTTACTGGTCTGATGTAACTTCTGTATGCAGTCAGGATAATACATGAGAGCATTAGCAACATTACATATTGTGTTTTGGGAATGCAACATTCCTGTGAACATGTTACCGCTGCATCCTCTCACAACAAATGGTTTCTGCCTCTGTGCTCTGGATGTCTCAGATGTTTCTGTCAAACATAAAACAAAGTATATTTATGGTGTGGCAAGTTTATGCACAAATGCATACTAGCTCAACATTATGTGAAAGAGACATAAATCGCGATATTTACCTGAGAGAAATGTCAGGGAAACCTTTTATCTTGGTTGCAGATGTTCATTTCTTGACGATTTCCCACTTAAACATGTACGGTTATTTAATTTTTTGGATTAGAAACAGTTATTTTGTTGCAAGTAGGTATTCATGCTACAGGTGCTGCTAAACTCGAATACAATGTGATGGCTCAAAAATATTGGCACAGCTGATCAGAAACATAGCCATCGGTGTGTTTTATGGGTGTATTATAGAATGTACAGTACATACCAGACTCAAAGATGGCACACAGTTACCTGACTGAAAATTGCTCACATGGTGCATGAGCCAAAAAAGCTTGAGAGCTTCCAGATTCCAGATTTGGTGTTTACCCCCTCTGGCCCTGCCCACACGTGCACACTTGGCCTAAAATCTTTACTCTGATCATATAAATAACTCACTTTTGTAATCCTTTAAACATCTTCTAGTCGACCCTATAAAATATAAACCTTAAATGAGTGTAATATATACCCTTTAATTCACACATAGGGACAAACACACATACCCACTGGTGACTGAAAAAAGCCACTGAAGTAAATGAGGTTTTCTTTTCACAGCCTTAGCATTACAGTGGCAAATGCTTTGCACACTTCCTCCTCCACACCAACTTCTGAGTGACAGCCTCTCACAGGGAACCTGGGCCTGCCAGAGGACTGGTGGTAAGTAGATGCAGAATTCCAACTAAGTTTCCAGTCTTCATGTTTACATGAGAAAGCAAGGCAGTAAATAACCCACATGAATGTGCTGAAATTAAAGCAAAGCATAAAACTGCTTGAGGTCTTTGCTTTGCTTTGATGAATTCTGAAATCAGAGTGTTTGCTCTTTCATTGCATTGCCAGAGGTGTGCATAAAACTCTACATAGATGTGTGGTGCTATTTCAAATGGAAATAAAAAAGGCAGCTCATTTTTATCAAACTGCTTATAAAAGCACTGAATACTGGGAAAGGGTGGATCTGTGTTTTAATGCCACCACCATGCCGCTCTATTCTGGGATGTTGCTGTGAATTCGGTGGTTGAGTGGAGAGCAACAACCGCAGCTAGGACGAGACACCCCGACAGAGTGGCTCTGAGTGCAAGTGTGTGTGTGTGTGTGTGTGTGCAGGCGTTTGTGAGAGTGGGACAGTTAAAGTATGCCTTTTCATTTGATGAAACGACACAGCAGAAATCTCTTGAGAAACAGCTGCTCTCTCTCTGAACCTAGCATTTCCTGCATATCGCAACACTCCTCCCACTCAGAAAACAAACAATTCTTCTTGTCACGGTCATCACTTAAGACTTCTTACACCAAGGTAAATTTTAGCTTTCATTTCCTTTCATCACCATAATAAAAATCCTGTTCCCACAGGGCCTGTCTGCCTGAGTTTTAAATTCCATTCATGAGTAATAACTCCTGTTACCAATGACTGCAATGTAAACCAAGCTAGTGTGTGCATGTTAATGCAGTCACACTGCAGTCCCTCAGTAACACGAAACACAGGACTGGTCACGCTGTGTTACTTCCCTGACAGAAAAAGACAATGTGTATGTGTGTTGGTGTAAGTGAGAAGACACTGAATACCAGAAAGTAATAGTGAGAGAAATAGGGGGAAACTATGAATACATCTTCCATTTATAAAACACAGACAGCTCAGACAGCTTATGATTCATTACAGAGATCATGCGCTGCTATGACAATGTTCTGTGAGTCATGTAGTGACTAATGCAGCGAGTACAGTACCTTCACCATCACAGATGTTCTGGTAGGAGTCCCAGCGGGTTAGAGGATCTGCTGTGTTGTAGTCCACAATAACATCTGCTCCATTTTGCCACCGGTTGGCACCTGGATCCAAAAATAATATTATTGTAGATGCTGTATCAGGGTGTTTGTTCTGCGCTAAACACTCAGTACCAAGTACTGTTACTCATTATGTTATTGTAAGATCTGTTATGACTTGAGGGAGGGGAAAATGGGAATTGACTGGGCAGGGTATTTAGGGTTACATAACAAAATAGTTAATAGTTTCTCAGTGATGTGATTCCCATATAATATCCCTAGCAGGTTTTTTTAATTATGTTACTGAAACCTAAAATGGTTGTTATTTTTAGGAAATGTGTTTTTAAAGTGACACAACTAAACCCATACACACATACAGACCCATACAAAATAGTTTCACTCCTGTGGGTTCTGGCGAGCACATGCTGTGTTTCTTTACTTCTCTGTCAAGCACACACTTCACACTACATTTCCCCTCTACAGCATTCCACATCCCTTCTCACTAGGGGGCAGAGAGGGAGGAGCAGAGCACAGGACGGTAGGAAGGGGAACATGGAGACAGCACCGTGTTGATTTCCAGCTACCTCTCTGTAGCAAATTTTGAAAAAGCTGAGGAGTTAGGATTCTACCTGGGATCTTCTCTGGTCCCTCGGAGAAAAGCAGCTCCACTTTACCATAATCTGGAAATCTGGGATCTGGAATGTAAGCACATATGAATGCCGCTAGTATGGCCATTTAGAAATGAATGAATGGTGTTGTCTATGAAAAAGATTCTCTCAGTACACGTAACATGTTTGAGAAAACAAGATTACTGGTCTCAAAGTGCCAAGTCTAAATTAAGTCCAGACTGAGCCCTACAGATGCTGCGTGGAGCAGATCTGTTGCTGTAAACTGTCAGCAGGTTGAGACCTGCTCTCACTATTTTTTCAGGTCTACCTTTGTTGGCGGTCTCCATGTCCTCTTTCTCAAACATCAGGTTGTAGCCCTGCACTGCTCCCGTGTGGAACTGCAGCCGGAAAATAACTTCATGCTCTGAAGTTAGGTCACTTTTGTGATAGCATTTAATCTACAAATGAAAAACACACACATTTTGTGATTACTACAATCAATACTGACGCCAGAATATCTGAAAAGGCATCTTGTTTGTTTTTCTACCATAATGTCCCCTTTTAGAAGCTGGGCAGGCTCCAGAGTGATGCATACATGGTCTCTGTGGCCTGGACCAATATGACTGTAACAAAAACAGAAAACTCAAAGTGAGCCAGAGTTTGGAAGCACTCACACATATTTACAGAAAGCTGTAACGCTGTATTAAAGTAAGTTAAACAGAAAATTGCTTTGAAGCATTTCTAAAATTCTTTGATGTACATGTGTAAGTTACTTACTAGATTCCAGATGAATACACAGCTTGCATTCCCTGGTAAACCTTGATGTATGGACGACATACTAAAAAAAAGAAAGAAAAATTCTCAAAAAATGATTGTTATAGGTGCATTAATAACATGACCTCAGGTTATCAGTCAGATAGTTTGCTCACACTTAAAGTGTGCTAAGCTGTTGTTGTGAGAAAGGGATTCCAGCTCCATGATGTGATGAAAACCTTTGTTGTTTCAGTGAAATTAGTGAAAACAGCTATTTAAATGTAAGGTTGGGTGTGAATTCCCATGGGGTTAATGGGAACCCTTAAAGACATCCTTCTCTTCAGTTCTGTTTATGTGAGAGCGTTGGAAAAAAGAGAAAGATGTAAAGTACAGATAACTGCTCCAAACCAGCACATATGTGACAAGTGATGTGGTTATGTCTGGATCCTTTTTATACCACTGTGGTAGCAGTGACTGTATTTTCATTCAGAACTGCAGCTGTGTATAGTGGCAAGCAGTAAGAGTTTAACCTCCAGTGGTATCGAAGTTTGGTATCCCATGAATGATGACGCAGTGCAGGAACAAGGGGGAGGCATTGATCTTCATAGATCCATTTAGAAGACTGTTGAGGATCCAAACATACCTGATGTGAAAGCACAGAGATGGTCATAAATCATTGTAGCAGAGGTTGAGATATCCTGTCTCAGACTCAGGGACACTCAAGAATGCAAGATACGTGTTAACCAGTTAGCTTTAGAGGTGTTAGTGGGTAGATTCTGTTACCTCTGGGCAGAGCTAGACTAGCTGTTTCAACTGGTTTCCAGGCCTAAACTCAGCTAACCATCATCTGAATGTAGCTTCATTTTTAATGTGAAAACATAATAGTGGTTTTAATTTTCCCATCTAACTTTCAGCATGAAAACAAATTTGTATATTTTCCAAACTGCAGGACTATTCCTTTAAGACAAAAATGTAACTCTTCAGCAGTTTTAGTTCGTTTGTAGAAAAACATGTTAATTTTCCTTAAAGAAATGTGTCGTAAAAACTATCATTTTGGTTTTGGTACTTAACTCAGGACAAGCAATGAGAAACTTTGATTGTTTATCTGTCTATGTTGTTACTATCAACATTTATCTCAGATAAACATGCAGACAAAACAGCTTGAGGAAACTAGAACATGATAAATTGGAGAAACCAGCTTTGCCTACGAGCTATGAGTGAGTTATGGTGATGATTCACAGTGATACACAGGGTTAGGATTACACCACCTCATCATGGGATCCCATTCTCATTACAGTGATGAACAAAACAAGGCGCTAGAGTGACACAGCACTGGGACACCCAACGTTTTATATAAAATCAGGTAGGTTTGGATGGGGACGTGGGTCAATAATGCACCAGTTAAACAACACATGGTTAGATGCATGTTGCTATACAGAAGGGTGTGCTTATGTTTTGGGTCTTACCGTTTCTGCGAGGGTGTCATCAGAGCTGAGACCTTATCATCATAGTATTTCCTCATGGCGAAGCGGTCCAACGCCTGATCAGCACTTTGAGGGGGACAGAGAGGCATGTTAAACACTTTAGGTAATTATGACTCAAGAGAGAGATAACACTCTGCTCCTCTATAATTGAATGGTTTTAACCTGGACTTCAATTAGGACAACACACACACACACACACACACACACACGCATAATGGACAAGAGTGAAAGTAATCAGAGAGACAGGGGATTCCAGCAGAGAGGAAGAGAAGGCCAGCCTTAAGTAAACAGGAGGAGGACAGAGAAAGGCCAGAGTGTGTGCACAGCTCGTCTATTCAGACAGAACTAAGACCAACAGGCACTGGAGCCTTTTCATCACAGCTCTGCTTCTCTCTCATCATCCCTTTCCCTATTCCATTGTAAATCTGTGTCATTGTTTTCCCATCTCCTCCTCCTCCTCTTTTTGCCCTCTGTTTTTCACATTCACCTAACAAACCCAACCTCCCTCAGCAGAACACAAACTCTAAGAGGAGCAGAGATGAGCTAAAGTGAAAACCAAGGTGTACTCATGCAACAAAACAGAACTGACCTCCAGGCCGATTCTCCAAATGTTTGCTGCGTTCCTTGACTATAGGGCTCAGTACCAGCCTCTCTAATGCTGTCTGACTGACAATGGTTAATAAACTTCGTCCAGATGAACAGATTTAAAGAACCTGACACTATGACCAGAAGCTATTACAGTAACAGACATGTTTTCAAGTTGATTCATGAAATTCAATACAGGATAATTGACAGCTTAAAAACTATGTGGTTTTCCTTTGAATTTAAAGAGGCAACATTTATTTGACTCACTTTCTGAATCACCTTGACCCTGAATTAAAGAATGCAAATAAATCGGCTGTGGTTTAGTGGTGACATTGCTTGTGGGCTACGAAATGAGTCTTCATGGATGGTTGTGGCTAACTGTTGTTGTTAGAGCTTGATGCCAATAATGATTGGGTGCACATGTATATTGACTAATCCTGACTTCAGTGAAAACATTAATAGCCACATAACATCAAATAGGTGGCATATTGTAGTAGTTACCTGGCTGATACGTCAGTAAAATGCACAAATGATGAAATGATAACACCAATTCGACCCTTGCCGCCCTAAAGGAACAACAGAGGACAGGAGATGACTCACTACAAGTGCAGCACATGTTTTTTTCATTTATCGTCTTGAAAAACAGTTAACTTATCCCTTTAAAAGAGATAAAATTGTTACTGATACAACAAAACCAGCAGATTCTCACCCTGCAGTGTATAACCACCACATGTAGAGGGTCAGCATTGAGCCAGCTCTCCATGGCCTTACAGATGGTGCAGATTTTATCCAAAGGTGGAGCATGGAGGTCCGGCCAGCCTGTATCCAGGGTCTAAAAAACACATTGTAATATCGTGAACAGATAAACTATCTCTTTAGACAAATACAGGCTACATCCTCTGTCCCTGTACATTACCAGTCAAATCAGTTCATTGTAGCTGGTTAGATACAGTTGATCAGAGGATGAACAAAGATTTGCTTTGCCATTGAAATATTGTTTAGTTCTTTTCCAGACTGATGTATATTGATATGGTCATCCTGAAAGGAATTTACTTGTACTAGTATGATAGAGATAATAGTCACATACCTTAGGGTTCATTTTAGAGAGCTCATGTCTTCTTTCTGACAGGTTAATAATCTGGAGAGAACACACAACAAAGCCTGTAACTAACAATTTCTAAAACACGCCTTTGCTTTCTCACTGACACTTAACATCATCATGCTAAAAGGATGAGCTAAGGACTCTGAGATCAATACTTTCATGTCAATATCCCATGAATGCCCATCAGCCCCGACATCAGTATGACTTGCACTTTGACACTGTGACACATTTCAAGTTGATACAGCGAGCAGCACATGAACACGCACTGACCAGGTAATTATCAGCATGTTTGGACTTGAGCATTCGTGTGACGTCCTTCAGGTTATGAGTGTAGATCTCCTCTGAGCAACCCCGGGGAAAGGACACAGCAATGATACGTTCTGTGATATATGTGAGGTCGAGCTCATATCCCTCCTCCATTCTGAATCTTGGGACCTCCTGTTAAAAATATCAAAGCAGAGAAACAGGTGAATAATGTTTAACTCACACCATTCCTACTTTAAACACATGACTTTATTTAATGGTCAAAGTCCTGAGCTTTAGTCACTGTGTCCAAGTTTCCAGCAGACACCTTTAGAGAATAACCTCAATCCCAGAAAGTCTTGTTTGCACTGCAACAATCAGTGTGTGTCGCCAAATACTGCACTGGTTCAAAAAAGAAAAACATCAATAATCTTGTTAACCCAGCCACTCGGTGGGAGCTACAATGACAAAAAAAAAAACTAAAAACAGCAACCTTCCAAGCAGTATAGGCAACGTACAATAACATGGCTGTGATAAAAAAAAATGGGAGAAATAGAGGAAACTGGAAACAAAACGGAGAATCTGACAAACAGAGAAAGTAGAGAGAATTACGGTTGTGTTTTTTTTCTGGATGAGACCAAGGAATGTTTTGATCTCCTCCTCGGTCCACACACACCTGTTGCCAGCCATGTTTATTTTGTATATTAAAGCATTTCTGTCACCTTTTTCTGATGCAAAATGCATGTAAAAACAGGGTGATGGAACCCTAGCTACTGTGCCCATCAATTAAGTCTGTAATCACTGCAGGCGACAGCCCAGCACTTTGAAGGGGGTGAGAGCGGGAGCCATAAACCCGGGACAGTGTGGCCACAGCGTAAAGTGTCAGAGTGTAATGAAAGAGGCCATGTGTATGAAGGGGTCATCACTCGGGGAAATGTCGCTGTGTGTGTGTGTGTGTGTGTGTGTGTGTGTGTGTGTGTGTGTGTGTGCATGTGAATTGTTGGAGGAGGTGGGAGCAGGGGGACAACATCTAATGGTGGGGCGGTTAGTCTATTTCCCCTGAAACTCTGAAGAAAAACTGCTGACTGGAGGGAAATTAATGAACAGGTTGGTCAGTAATTAGGCTCCCCTCTCTCCAGGCCAGGGGCATGTGATGAGGTCCTAGTAATGTTTTAGAAGTGTCTAAATACTAGCTGGAGATGGGAAGGGTATCTAACCAACAATTAAGTTCTATATGACCCAGGAGTGTGAAAGAATCGTACTAAATGAATCTGGTGCAAAAACTGGGAGAATATTTTTTAGAAATTGTTTAACCCTTTGGAAAATAGCAGCATTTGCTTTCTTGCCAAGAGTTAATGTAAATGAAAATAACGATGCCTCTCTAATGTCTGCATGGTAAAAATGAAGGTATCTTAACTAACATGCTGGTTAGGTTAGCAAAATACCAGAAACAGACTCGCCTCTGTGCAAGGGTAACAAAATCTGTCTACCCGAACCTCTAAAACTCAGTAATTAACACACTGTATCTTGGGCATTTAACCCACACAAAAACAAAAGTCAAATCAGCACATTGTAGCTTATGTGCCAAACTATTTCTTGGTGCAAGCAAGTAGGAAGTTACTGCACCTGGCTAAGAGATAGTACATACTTTTGCTTGGACCAACAAATAGTTTGGCACATTACCCTTTTCACATAAGACCACTAGGCAGACCCCCAAATCTTTGAACAGAGGCAGACTCGCCGTTTCCCTCACTTTCCAGTCTTTATGCTAAGCTAAGCTAACCAGCTGCTGGTGTTGTGGTATAGTTTCATATTTAACTCACAGACACAAGACTCTTATCAGTCTTCTTGTTTATCTCTAGACAAGAAAGCAAATAACTGTATTTCCTAACATGCTGAGCTATTCAAATAACAGGCAATTTTCTCATGTCAAGGTAACTAAGTAAAGAAAAATAAAGATTCAAGTTATTTCAAGTAAAAGCGATAAAGATCCACAAAAGTTGCCAATATATGAAACTATAAACTAAATCCAAAAACTTTTAAATGTGAACTTGAGACTTATTAATTTCACATGAATCATTCATGCGCAGTACTGTCCCAGTCATCATTCAAGCCAACACCAGTGACTTGCTCCAGCATGCACTAAAGATAATTGGTCTTTAATTTGCACTGGCTGCTTTTGTTCCTGGTTTGAGGCACAGCATTAGCTCACAAAGCCATAATGCCAAGGAACTCAAATACCAAGCCCACCCATGGCACTGTGAGAGCAAGACTGATACAGGAGTGGGGTAGGCAGAGAGAGTCGAGAAAACGCGTTGCCAGGTCTACAGTGAACAAGCTGCAACAGGTTTACTAAGGTCAGGATGTTGGGGGATTAGGGTGTGTCTGGCTCCCCCAGCCCCAACCCCTGCAGGTAAGAGCTTGACTAGGCTGCGTGGGTGCTGTCAGCCATGTTCACACATGCATGACCATCACCTGGGATGGGCTCCGCATGCCTTTCTTTCAATTACCCTGAGAAACACTGAAAATAAATGAATCAAATATTCCATTTATGAGTAAAAAAATGCATGAATATTAAGAGTGCCGGGATCAAGCTTGTTTCTATTTCAGGAGCCACACCCTTCTCCTGGCACACACTGTATGAAATCTTCCATTTTGTACGAGCAGGTGGACCACAAGATGAAAGAAGGCAGCGTCATGCGAGATAAATCGCAGAGGGAAAAGTCTCAAAATCCAGACATCAGTTAGTCAGCGCCCAGAGGTTAAATCACAGCCAAACTGTGTGAACAGTGACATCATAGATGTTTTCATTTTTGAGCCTATTGTGGTGACAACAGCTGGCAAAAACTCTGCATACTCGTCTC